TGGCTCTAGTGTAATCCTGAGATGGGACTATAAACATGCATGGCTCTAGTGTAATTCTGAGATGTGACTATAAAAGCGCGTGGCTCTAATGTAATTCCAATATGTCTGATATGTAGCTATAAAAGTGTGTGGCTGTAATGTAATCTCAGGATGTGACTAAAGGTGTGTGGTTTCAGTGTAATCCCAAGATCTTAAAATGTGCAACTTCAGTGTAATCTTGAATTTTGTATAATTAACTTTTGGGTTGTAATCACACCTAAATAAATAAAGTAATGGAGTAAAAATGGATCGATCTAGCATAAGTATTTTTTGTTTAAACTACAATGAGCTAAGATGTCATAGCCATTACTGATTTTTATATAATTGATGCATATATTATTTTATAATTTCCTTTACAGTATTATGTGCCTTCAGTTCATCCCTAAAACACACATGTTTTTCACTGGCAGCAAAGATAAAACTGTGAAACAGTGGGATGCAGATAATTTCCAGAAGATTGTTACACTACAAGTATGTGTAGACTTGTAATATGTATATAGGTATAGCCTAACCTCCATCTGAAAACAAAGATCATTCAAAATATTATGACAGGGATCTAACATGGTTTGTAAGAATTCTTGTAAAAGTCCATAGTGAAATCATGTTTTTATTTTTTATCAAGTTTTTCAAATATTTCCATAATTTAAAATACTAAATGGTATTTAACAAATTACATATTCAATTTGAAAGAATGCAGATAAAATATTAAGAATTTCTATTTTTGATTGGTAATTTACTATAAAGTTATGAATTGAAAGGTTTTAATTGTCATTTGTAATTGAAATATTTATTACAATTAAGCAAAGTATTAAATGTGAAAGAAAGATTATTACCACCTTTACCATTACTCAGACCATGCTATAAACATTGAGTAATTTGGGAGTTAAATACAGAATGCAACTTAACAAAATCACTTTCTTTTGTACATACTAAAGATACAGTAAAGCTTTTTCCAGGCTTCATGATCCAAAGAACCACTTATTTTTTGGGGGGTCTGAAGGAAAAGTTGAGGGTCACTGCATCAAGCACTGTGAAATGAAGCTTTTGAGCTTAACACATTTGCTGCCATGTGCCCCACTGGTGTGTCACAACTGACTTTTAGTTATGGACCTCGTGACACTCCGGTGGGTCACATACAATTATGTTTCAGAACCAAATTTCTCTTATGACATGTGAATTTGGACACTGTCATTGCTCCTTGGCACATCTTGAATCTTTCATTTTTTTTATACTTTTATTATGTGGCAGCAAATGTGTTAAGCATATATTGCCATTTTGTGTTGGGTGATATTGATATCTATCATAAAGGGTACTGTAGTCTGATATATTTGGTTCCAAGAATGCTTGTTCTTTGAATTTTGATTTATTTGTTTATCAGATAAGGTGAAAATATTCTTTGTTTTTTTCATCATTTATTTATATAAATTGAATACTGTGCAGTGGGTGTAGTATGATAAAGGATGAATATTTGTTGAATTTTCTAACTATAGATTTCTGCACTAATTTTAAATTAGCTGCATTCCTACTCATATTTTGTGGATCAAGGTTATCATGTTAAGAGCAGACAGTAGAAAGAACAGCCCATAAATGAAACTTCCTGTTCTTTTAATAATACTAGAAATAGTATAGGTTAATATGTACATTTTATCTTGTTGCACTCATGAAAACCATAGGTATTCAAAACTATTTGAATTAAAAACCATTATCTACTATTAGTAATCTCTGTAAGATCAGTTCAGATTTTTATCTCAAGCCAAGCTATTTTTAATCTTCATACACGAAAATTTTGAATTTTAGTAAACGTTTATCAGTTTATTTAGTAATCAAAGTGGAATAATACTAATATATAATAATAATAATATATTTATAATAATATAAATAATAATAATGTTATTTAATATTGAGTGGTTTATTAGTATAGGGCTTCTGTAGAAACTGATATGATTTCTGACTTGGTAACTTGCTGCAAAAAAAGTTTTTAACTTTAAATATTTCGGTTCTCCTTTGTTTTCTAGGGTCATCAAGCTGAGGTATGGGCTTTAGCCATAAGTCCAAATGGTCAACATGTCATTACTGCTGCTCATGATAGAAGTCTTAGGCTGTGGGAAAAGACACAAGAGCCATTAATTTTAGAAGAAGAGGAGGAAATGGTAAACATGAAAGGATTTCCTATAATATTCATGCATTATGGAAATAGTGCATGACTCAAGATTTGATAGAATTTTCAAAGAAAAATGAGTTTTGAGGTAAACAATTGGTTAATTCAAACTTGCTAATTATAAATGTTCATATTGTACATAAGACCGAGTGATAATTTTGAAAGTCATGATAAAAGCAGCATAAAACTTGGGAAAATGTGAAACATTAAACAAAATCTGATTTGTTCAGCCAGTTGAAGGCTGTGTTAACAGCTTTGCATAGAATGCATGGTTACATTTATGATTTTTTGTCTGCAATGGTTCTGCAACCCAATGATGAAAACAGCATAAAACTTGGAAAAATGTGAAACATTAAACAAAATCTGATTTGTTCAGCCAGTTGAAGGCTGTGTTAACAGCTTTGCATAGAATGCATGGTTAAGTTTATGATTTTTTGGCTGCAGTGGTTCTGCAACCCAAGATTTACTGACTGAAAAATTGTATGCAGTTGCTTGATTAGAATACCATACTCTTTCACAGAGCATAGCAAATGTTAATAGAGTGTGTTACCATAGTTTCAGGTTACAAGAAGCACAGCCCATCAAAGACATACCATGTATTAATGCGCATGCAAGTAAATAACTCTTTTCTATTGAAGTTGCCAAAGTTAAACCTGCTGCAATATGCAACTTATTTTTTCAGCTTCATACTTTTTAACACACAACCCTTTTTTTTTTTTTTTAAAATACATTTGTGTTTTAAAGACAAAGAAATTCATAATATTATCCTAAAATAAGTAATTATGTACACTACCCACAAAAATTAAAGAATAACAAAACTTGTTTATTTTTTAGGTCCTCAATTGTTTTTTTTTTTAAATATAGTATGCTTATTGTAGAAGATTACACTAATCCTACCTAGGGTTTGCAAGTTTATGGTCTTAATGATTCCTTATGTGATAGGCCTTTAAGAGAAAGGACCCAAATTCTGCAAAGTAAAAAGCTAGTTTTGATTGACTAGGAAAGATGATGCTAGATTCATGGAATTTTTTACTGGTATTGACATTTGCAAAAAATGTTGTGCAAACTGTTAGAAACCAATTAACTGAAAATGAAGTTTACAGAGCCATCACACTGTTTCAAAAAGGCCACACCCAGACTGTGATCAGTAGATTGTGGTATAGACACCAGGCCACAGGAGAATGCCCCAGGAGTTCAGGTCAGGGTTGCAGAAGGTCTACAGGTGCAGTAGATGTCCAATATCTGTGGAATTTAGCCAGTAAAAAAATGGAACGAGCTTTAGCAAGCCACTGGAGTGTATGTATTGTGTTCAATGGTCAGGCACCATGAGGCTGGTCTCAGGCACAGGATACCAGTTATAATCCTTGTACTTACCTCAAGGCACTGAACAGTCTGACTGATATTTGCCTAGGAACATGTCATCTGGACCCTTCAACAATAAACCACTGTCCTGTTCACAGATGACAGCAGGTTCTATGGTTCTATTTATATTCATATCATTAACTTGTGAGGGTTTAGAGATGTGAAGGAGATTGATATTCGGCCCATAACATTGTCAACTATGATGCCTTTGGGGGGGTGGCTCAATCATGGTCTGGGGTGAAATCTGCATGCAGGGGCATACAGACCTTTGTGTGGTGGATGAAGTATCCCTAGCAGCAAGATGTTATGTAGATGAGATCCTGCTACACATGGTGCACTCTTTTGCTGGTGCTGTCAAAGATGAGTTTGTGCATCAACATTATAATGCCTATCTTCATGTGTTGTATTATTTTTAAGTTGAAGATACATTTTTAAAAATGATATATTTTGTGAAGTTGGAAAAGCTATTTGAATAACTTGGCTGTTTCATATATCAAATTAGAAAGTAGAAATAAAGTAATTGTACACAGTAATGATACATAATGACCTTTTGTGATATTTTTAATTTCCATCGGAGATCTAAGAAAATGGTTCTCATAGTTTTTAAAAAAACACCTGATAGTAGGATTTTACTTTGTACTTATGAAGTTATCAAACAGCTATTAATGAAAGTTGCCATAGAAAATAATGTATATTTACAGGCTTTTTCAATGAGGGAAAACATTTGTATTTTTCTAAGTCTTAGTCATATGCCAGTTACTATTTATTCACTAAATAGAAGAAGAAAAAACAATTCCATACACTTGTTACCAAAACACGTGCATTTACCTAAAAACTAACTTATTAACTTTTACATTACCCAATTGATCTAATTTTCCTGTCTTTTTCATGCAGAAATATAGGAGATACACAATGTAGAAACTGTAATATTAGTATATTGCATGAATATATGAAAATTAAGTTAAAATGTACTAGATTTTCTTACAAAATAACATTTTTACTACCCTACCTTTAGGTTATGGTGCTGATGATACTCCTGTACTTTTCATCAACTTCCAGATTTTTTCAGCCCATTCTATTCCTATCCTTATCAAAGTGTTTGAACTTCCTATTAAATTCCTTTGCTCACCCATGAGATCTTGGAAATCAGTATCTCTGAAAACCACAGATCAGTGCTAAAACTACATTATTTACTCTACATTAACATTGCTTATAACTGCTTTATGCAATTGTTTTTAAATATTGGTTATTGTTATTTTCAAAGTTGAGCTTGTTAGTAATGTTCAAGAAAACAACATTTAATATGTTTGGAGCTGTGCATAAATGAGAGAACATTAACTTTTTTATATTTTTCTTAGTGAATTACAATAACTAAATGTTATAATATGGCAAAATATCAATTCTGAAATATTTTTGGGTTAAAAACCTTTCTAATAGTTAGAATTATTTTTACTTAAATTTTATATGCAGATGGACTCTCAATACCTGAAAAGTCATGATAGAGATAACTATATTTATGTTTGTTAAAGCATTAATATATTGTTTCCCAAAATATTATTATATGTTATATTATGCTGAGTGTTTAAGCAGCTTCTTGAAAAATCAATATAAAGACTGACTTGCTAAATTGACAGAGTATGCTTGATAAGGTATTCTTTTATAATAACACTTCTTTAAAGAAGTCGCATGATATTTCCTCGTATAGGTCACAATCTTGATAAGTTGGTCATTTGAATATTTTGACAGTAGATTCACCACAGAACACAAGCTTGAATGGACAATCTGTAAACATATTTATCAACTTTCATTTGGATAAGATTTCAATGTCTGTTAAAATAATGCATTCAGAATGTTTTCTTTAGGGGGTAAGAGATATAATCATATCTCTAAACAAAACATTTAACCTTGTACTTCACCTATTAGAAATATAGTGTATAATATTAATAAAATCAGCTGATACTTTTAATAAATCCTGACACATCATTTTCTTTGTTTCTTAAATTGGATATTGCATATTAGCTTACTTTTTTTAATATTGAATTTACTTATTGTTTTGTGTCAAATGCATACTATTAATATATATATTGGTAGTATTCAATTCAAGGTGTTTGTGGTAAATAACTGGTGCACTACTTGTTTTCATCATTAATACTGAATTTTATTACACTTTTTTTTTTAATTGAAATTATTTATTTTGAAAATTTGAAGCATCTGAAGTTTGAACAGTTATCTTTCAGATATGCTAACTGAGATTAATTGAATTTATGTAATTAATTGCTTATTATATACTTAGAAAAGTAAATTATTTTTAAATGTATTTGCTTATAAGGAACGTGAAGCTGAATTTGAAAAAGGATTAGCCAGTGGAGAACAACCAATAGTAAGTAAATTTTTTCTCCTTATTAAATCTTCCATTTATTTTATACAGTTTCTAGTGATCTGACATTGAGATAGTTTGAACTTTGTGGCAAAAAAAATTCTATTAGTAGTATCTAATGAGTGGTGATAGAAAATTAATACAATGTGGGTCTTCAAAAGTTATGGAATATTCGAAATATTTTGATTTTATGTAGATTCCTGGTGAAGTTAATCAAGAAACAGGCCTAGCAGGTAAAAAAACGGTGGAGACAGTTAAGGCAGTAAGTATAATTGATGTTCAAGTCAAACAATTGTCTGGTTTATTCAGTCATAGAAAATATTTATTAATCTATAATACATTAAACCTATATGCATAGGAAAAATTTGTAGATAGATATTATGCAAATTCTATATTCCAACTGTACAATGGACAAAGGTATTTTTCACATTAACATATGTTTAGTACAAATACTTTTATAACACATCTGATATATTATACACAGCTGACTTGTACATTTCACTGAAAGCTTGCTACATTTCTTAAACATTCACTTAGTAAATTTGGAATTATAGTCAACATTCCTTCTCCAATACAGGGTTGATCCATTGGACTGACTCCTTGTAACAACCGAGTAATCATGAGAGTGTTCGTACTATAGCTTTTAATGGGTTTTGTGCATCTTCATCAAATTTGGAAAATTTACAATATATGTTACAATTATTTGGTACATAAAAAAGTTTTTAATTAAACATTTTTACTAAAAATTTGTATGTGAATATATGGAGTCAAAATGTTGACTGTTCTGAGTGCAAGTGATTTTTCCTATTAATATTAAAAAGACTTCATCTGAAAATTTTCAAATTTCATTTGCATAACCTCCAGTACCTCCTAAATATATATCAAACCTTTTTTTTTTCTTCAGTAAAACTTTATTTGTTATTTTTCTCTACCATTACTCTACTGACCTTGTAACCACCATAAAAAAAAGTATGAAATAAATCTACTTTACCATTTTTATTTCACTAGTGATTGCAGATTATAACAGAAAACTACAATTGTTTATCGTAAAGATTTTAATAGTTTACACCTGTTTATATTTAATTTTTTTGTCCTTTGAACCATTTCTGACTAGTAATCCCACCACACAAGTTGTTAATCACAGCTCACATTACCGTATTGAATTATGAAACACACGAGCTGCTTTCATGTACCTTGTGAAGAATTTTTTTTTTCATTAATTTACCTTACCTAACTTAAGTTTCTAATTTTTACATTTTAGTAACTTTTATAACAATTACTAAAAGACACGTGAAAAACAAGAAACATAGTACTTGGGTTTGGTCTCTTGTATTTTGCTATCAGTTGCTGATGAAGTTGAAGCCTACTTTTTGTATACTGCATAAGAGCCTTAAAATAATTCACAACGCTTCTTGATCAGAACACAGTGAGAGAAAATGAAATTGACAATACCATGTACTGAAAACAATGTAGCATTATGTCATTTGGCAGATTAAAACTATATCTTTCTATTACTTATAAATGATATAGTATAAAATGTCAGAGAATTATTGGCAATTTGTGAAAGAGATGATGTGACAGGTTGGTCTAGCAAGTGTATCTGATTTTCTAGTTTATGACTCCATAAACAAATAAGATTGAAGGTGATAAAACTAATCAGTCTTTCTTAGTAATATCTATATTATAATGAGTAATTTATGTTGAATTCTGTACTTCATAAAGAGTTGGTAAATAAATCAGAGATGAAGGAAAACCTAAAGAACAAATGTCATTATTCTCATACTAGAGGATATTGAGGAATTTTTTTAATCTTTCATTATAAAATTAAGAACTCAAAATGTATATAATATTAAAATTTGATTTATTAACTACATTTTGATGCCAAATGTATTCATGTATATTGATAATAAAGTTGTTTAAATTTTGAAAATTTTGTAAAGGTCATGATGTGCACTTTGACCTACCCATTGTGAGAGGGTTAAACCCTGTGGTTACAGGATATGTCCCTTGGACCCATTGAGTAACCACCAAAGTAAGCATGAGATTAGTCAGACTATAACTTTTGATAGTATATGTATATCTTCACAAAATTTTGCAGACTATCAGGTAACATTACAAGGCTTTTGTACACACACACACACACACACATAAAATAATTTCTAATTAAGTATTTAAACTAAAGATTTCAAACCAGAAAATTCATCATTTTTATGGCAAGGCCATTTGTCCATGAATTTTCTCTCATTTTCAAGGGCCCCAAGGCCAAAAAAAATTCACTGGATGGTACTAAGGCCACAGTATACATTAATGTTAACAGAATAGAAATGGGGCTTGGGAAGCTAGCCTATCCTTCCAAATTGTTTATCAGGTTGGTAAGTATTAACTTTAACCAATGAGACTTATGAAGTAACAGTACATCAGCTTTAAAAGAAAAAGGTATCATGCTGATCTAAAATGCCCTCTGACCTTAACAAGATTCCTAGTTTTTGTCCCCTCCTGATCCTAAATGACGTTTGACCAGGGCACATTGCATAACTACCCACCTCATGGTGGATGCCTAGATGATACACGTCTGTTTTGTAGCTACATTGCTTTTTCTTTTTTAAACGTTCTATGTAATATTACAATTATTTTTCATCTAAGGTTTGGATGTGCTGTGTACAATTCCCACTATTCTGCCTTATGATGTAATCTTCTTCTTTATACACACACACACAGCTTTGTAAGGAACCTGCATGCTACTTTTTTTTTTATTTGCTTAAGTGCTATCACTATCATACATTTGCACATTTAGTGTAGTCTAGGTTTATGAGATATATTAATTTTAAAACATGAAATTATCCATAATGTGCATATGCCCTTACACCAGAAGGAATGATAAAGATTAACTGTTCTGTCCTTACAGGCTGAAACATTAATGGAAGCCCTAGATGTATACAAAGAAGAGGTGACCAAACAAGATGAATATCAACGGGAATGCTTAGTCACTGGAAAGGAGGTTAGTTGGCATGTTTCCAAGTTGTGACTGTGAAAAATCTATTTGATTTAATTATACTGAAGTTTTAAAAAGTTAAGTAATGTATATAAATTTTTAGATTTACCATAAGAACCTTTTTGGTTATATAAGACAAGTAAAGGATATGTTAAATACAAGACTGAATTGTTTTTGTTTTTTTCATATTATCGAAAACTTTTTTTTTTGGTCTACAAAAGAAAAACATAATTCATAAGAATCACATCTTGCTCTGGAAATGATGTGCGAAATATACCAAATCCGTTTATAATATATTTCTGGTAAAACTGGAAATAAAAATATTTTTATAACTTTTGCAAATAATTAATTTTGTAATATTAACATTGTGATTTAATGTCTTAAGTTGTGTTGTATGCCATTTGTGAACTACAAGAATATTCTGTTGTTGAGTAATATAGTTTTGACTGAAAAGTGTGATCTTATTAAATGATTCATGATTATGATAATTTATCTACAACGTAAATTTATCTGAAAAAATACCAACATCAGTAACTTTTTAAAAGATGTTCTATTATCTCAGTATGGTAAATTAAAATTAAGTAGCCTAGTTGGATGTAACTTTTAAAAAATTTAGATAGCTAAAATGCAGGTTAAATGACCTCCATAGTTACGGGACACCATCTGCTGTTTTTAACATTTTCATCATATTTAGTTTGTTAAAAGTATTTTAGTTGGACAGTGTTTTGAAAATAACATATTCATAACAGTTTTAACAAAATGTATTTTGAATACTTTCATAAACTCCTCATAATTGTAACCTTTATTTCAAAGAATTCCACATTTTAAAAATTAAGAAAAATAATTCAATTTCCAGCTACCATTTCCACCTCCTCATCCTCTAATGACACCATACTCTACTAGATGTCCCAAACGTTACATGCTTGAAGTTATAAGGCGAATTAAGTCCAGGTGAGAGATATTGTTGAAATTCTTCATTATCTATTAAACCTTCCATTATGAGTTGGGTGGAATCCACCCAGCTTGTAACCACGAAAGTATCCACGAGAGTAATTATACTATGATTTTTGAAAATGTACACATATCTTTACAAAATTTTGCAGGTTATTGATAAATATTACAAGGCTTTCGTACACAAAATATCAATTTTTTTGAATTAAGTATTAAGATTTTTTGAAAGATTTTCTCGCAAAAGTTTTTCTTTCAGAATAATAACTATCCAACACGCAGAGTAATTTTCATTTTAAGATTAAAAATACTTTTGTGCATTAGAAAATTTTCAAATTTCACATGGGAAATCTTTATAACCTCCAGATAATTATCAAATGTTTTTTAAGAAAAAATTTTATAATTTATCTGTTACTTTCACTATCAAATCAGAATCTCTGTACATGTTTAGCAGATTTGACCAAACTTGTAACCATCATAAAATAATTGTAAAATATAAATATAAATAATGTTTAATATTAATAGCTTAAATGTCATAACATTATACAAAAAAAAAATTATTATTATTATATTGACCTTTCATCCATTGCTGGCTAACATCACAGAAGTTAAAATGACGAGGTGCATGTGCACTCATGTTACTGTATCCAAGAGTATAAAACTGACCTTTACAAAGTTAATTGTCTTGGCTGTGTTTTAGTGGATTAGTATTTTGTAAAATAGTCACATTTCACTTATAGTACGTTATATATGTATATAGATTATTACTATTTACAAGTAAGTATAGTAAATAATTATATCTTCCAGTTACAATGACCTTTGTACTCATTTGCTAAGCCTTTTAAAATTTTGCACATGGAAGATATGAAACAAAATATTTATTTTAGGTTTTATATATATACATTTGAACTAACCAAAACATCATAAATAACTATATCATTACCATAGAATTCCACTATAATTTATCAAGCTTAGCAACTAAGCTGTATTTGAGTCTAAAAAAAGATGAAATTTCAAGCAGA